CTCTTGTTTGCTCTCAACGAGTTTGCTTTCATTTGAGTTTCAAGCTGTTTCAAGAAAAACGAATATTTTGTTCGCTATTTTCAGCAAAAACTAAAGATCATATGCAAGCAATATGACTATTGATTGAAAAAAAATAAGTAAAAGTTATTCAAAATTTGTTTCAACTTTCATTCATTAGCGATTGTTGGTTCAGGTGAGCCGGCGAGTAAAAAACCTTTTGATCCTCTCTACACTCTTCGGAACCAACTGGGGGGTTCAGGTGGCTCTCTCAACGGATCTCTTCTCTCTAACGGCGGATCCCCCAACATCACTACCCCGCCCAGTCAACCAAGCACCGCCAACTCCCATTCCTCGCCCTCGTCCTCTTCCGGATCCAAAAATTCATCATCATCATCAAATTCCTCCTCACAGAAATCACAGCACCACAACAACTCCGTCACATCAAGCGGAGGCGTCGTGGGAAGCAACGGCAGTGCTAGCGGAACAACAAGTCGTTCCTCGCCAAGCACGCGAAGTGCAAATGGGAACCTGTCGAACGGACTGTCGTCTCTCTCTTCTTCGTCCGGCGGATCGACCACTGCAAACTCCTCGGCTGCCAAAATGTCACCTCCAAACTTGACTAACCTTCTGGGCTCACCCGGGCTGAACTCTAGCGGAACAACGGCCGTCAACGGCACTTTGGTGGCTTCGGGGGTGGCGAACAACTTGGGGACAAACTCGACCTCAACTTCGCCCAAATCTGAAACTGACTCGATCAGAAGTTTAGTGAAAAGCTACCGAGAATCAGCCGCGTTTCTAAATCGATCAGCAGATGAATTGGAAAAACTGCTGAGCGGGACTTCAACTTGATCTGACCTGTCAGAATTGGGCTATTTTATTTAGAGTATTGATATTGATATTTAGATTAAATAACTTATTTTCATTTATCTCTACCGTTTCCATAATCATTACTTCGTGCAGTTGATTTAAAGTGTAAATTAAAAGCTTTCAATCTATATAGAAAACTTCAGAAGTAATAAAGCTAATTTTCCATAGTTTCGCCAACCTATGATATATTTCTGTTTGATAGAAGCGTTAAAAACATACTTATTATCACAAAGTTTATTTTTCATATGGTGCTAAAAAGTAAAACTAGTCAAACTTCATATTCTGTTTCGGTGTTTTGTGTATATTTCGCTTTCCCTTCAACAATTTATCAACCATTGCTGTCAGATACTCAATCATGTGCACATTTTCACTTAGCTTCCAGAAGTTCCTGAGATCTGTTTAACAAGCCCTATCTTCCGTCTTTTAAACCTTCGATACAAAATCTCTATTCAAGGAATGCCCTGGTTAAACAAGGATTAGATCACGCTGAAACAATCCCACCAATGTTATAATCTATCCGAGTGGACCGCATACCCACCCCCACATTCTTTCTAACATGCGTGAGTGCAGCTATTGCATAGTAAGGGGGAGGGTGTTGTTGAATAGATCCACCAGATAAGCTAATGTTGTTTAAAAAGTTCCTGATGAAAAAGAACCCCCCCCCCTTTTGTTTCCCTGTTTCCACATATCTGTCCAGTTTATGCCATCATGTCTGTCGCTAACTTAACGATTCAAAAATATAACCTACAAATCCCCCACTTTAATTATTATTATTTAAGGCTCATCTGAATTGCAGAAGTGGAATTTACTGATTTTTTTCTTCAAAAAATTGAAAAGTTGAATTTCTTCAGTGAGAATTTCAATATATTTAGCCTATTTTTTTGAATGAATAATGTTCAAATGAGCTCTTAGTTGTGCTGTTTTGAGAAATGAATTTTTACCTTATATAAAGAGAACGAAATCAGTTCTGATTAAAACTAAACAAATACAACTTCCATACGATTTGAATGATTTAGTAGAAAAATGGAAAAACATACGATCTGATTGATTCAAGTAAAACCATTGATGTTGCCACTTGTGGAAGAAGTTGTTGGCTGCCAGTTATTTTGCCTCTAAGTGTTATTATATCATGGAAAATATTTCAAAATCCTATCCTTGTGGCGATTCCTGTTGTGTGTACATTCTATCAATTACAGAAATAATGTATCACTATATCACAAGATAAAAGAGCATGTTCTGTCCATACTTTTTTGAGAAACAGCAATCTTGTTCTCACTTTCAATGAAATGACGCAGCAATTGTGCTCAGTATGGTTTTTTATCCGGACAAATTTCGAATTTGCATCTATCATTTCGTATGAAATTTTTCTTTCAATTTTTATTAAATGTATATTAACAAAAAGGGTTGCCAGTCGCAGTAACAGTAGTACAAAAAAAATCCTACCACTTTAATATTTTTTCAAAAAAAAACAGAAAAATTAGACCAAACTCAATTTTAAAAATTGAAAGTTTTCACAAAATTTGATTTTTTTTGTTTTTTTTTGGTTAATGGGAAGCGGCTGAATTCAACAAAAAATCAGATATTGAAACAGAGCCAGATATTGAAAAAAACTGACGAATCAGATTGGAAGTTCATTCTGAAATTTGCAATCTGAAAAAATCACCAGTCTGAAAAAAAAATTTCAGACCAGTTTTTAGCTACTCCAAGAGAATTTTTTTTTTGCATTTCCATTTTTTCACCAGTTCGTGCAAAAACTCATAACAAAGGAAGTAAACATAAAAGTGTAAGCAAACTAATACTGAAATATTTCCCAAAAATTTTCGATACAAACTTGCCAGAGATGTTTACAAAGCCCTTTGAAGTTGATTTTGTTTTTTGCGAAGTTCGCAATCAAATTTACTCAAAAAATGGATTGCTTTAGATCAACCTGCTTGTTTCTAAATCGAAGTTGTCCTTTTTGTTTGGGCAAAATAACTTTGAGAAAATATATAGTGTCCAAAAAATTTTTAAAAGTTTTTTTTGCACTGTTTCATGGTCAAAATAAGCCCCTTTTTTTTAAAGAGAAGCTTTTTTCAAAACAAACCATTTGGAAAAAATATTAGCCAATTTCATCTTTTCAAATTTCGTATTTTGGTTCAAATGCAAATTTTGTATACTTTCGTATTTGTTCTAAAAAGATGAGAGAAGTTTGATTTTTTTGAAAATTTGGTTTTTAAAATTTAACAAAACTCTTCCACCCAACATGAACCGAGTTGGCTACAGAAAATTCTTCATAAAACTTTTAAAAACGGGAAAATGTTAATCACACCATTTTCATGCAATTCCATAAGTAAAAAAACTTGCTTTCTATAATAATAATTATTTTTTCATATTTGGAAATTGTATGGCAAGACTTTTCCGAAAAACTGAAAATGAGTTTTTTTAAAGTAATTTAACCCAAAATTTCTGAGTTCTTTTCATGACATCACTCATAATTGACAAAAACTTTGGTTACTCAAAGCTACAGTATCCAAAAAGGCTATGGATTTGCATGAAACAACCTGAATACAGTTGTTTTACACCTACAAAGTCATGAAACTAGCAAATTTTGCTATTTTGGCAATATGTCAAAAAATATTAAATCTGTGAAACTGAGGTTTTGGTCGAATATCTTTTGCTCAGAGACTACAAAAATTGCAAGGTGTTTTGAGCGTTTTTGAAAAAAAAACTAAGCAAAGAAACGGAATGTTATTCTAATTTCTGTGTATCTAGGCTTTCGTTATGAACGCAAAAACTTAAATTTTGCATGCAAAATTTTTTTGGGAAGATCTGCATGAAGTGTATGAAATTTAAACATCAGCGTTTTTAATACACATAATCCTAAAAACTATTTGATTAGCATATTCTGTCTATAGAGATCATCATCGGAAGCTATTTAAAGTAACAAAAATTTTATTTGCTTGTTGTGACCCGTTAATAAACCAATTTTGCTAACCTCCGATTATTTTAGAAAGATTTCTTAAATAGATTGAAATATTTTGCAGGTTTATTATCTAGATTTGAATTATAGTTGTCGAAAAAGTCCGAAAATTAAACCATTACATCTGTTCAAAAAATTTAACAAATATAAAAAACTATATAAATTTTGACCTCCAGACAACATATTTTTCAGATGTTTTAGAAAATTCAGTTAAAACAACTTGAGTTATGAAAACCAAAATTTGACTGGAAAAAAAACCCCAGCAAAAATAATCCGCTCATTGTTTGAAAGTCGAAACAACAAAAATAGAATATCGTCACAGACCCGATCAAAACAATTCAAAAAAAAATTTTAAAATAAAACAAAACGACTTCCTATAGTAAGATAGAAAAAAATTGCTGATCCCAGCAATTTACATACATTTTACTACCAGAAAAATTAAGAAAATGTTTTGGTTTTCGAACCGATGTAAACCGCAAAAATGAATTGATGTACCCGTGATATATTTTTTGTCTGATTTTTGACTTTTTTTTAAGAATAGCAAAACTTTATCATAAAACAATGCTAAAACTTTATGCCTTCTTATTTGAGTTTTTTAGTTTCAGTGAAAACAACAACTGCAATTATTGTACTACGTTTTATTCTGAACTCGAATTGTTTGCTATACAGCTAAGTGAATTTTTCCATTCGCTTATACATTGTTCTTGTGTAAATCTTAATCCAGACAATAATCAAGAAGATGGGATCGTAATTGTTTTCAAGTAATCAAGAATTGTCATTATGAATGGAAAGTACTTTTGTTCATAGCAGTTGGAAGAATGTATACCAAATACCAGACTAAAGAATGATTCGATACAATAAAAATCAAGTGGTATTGTTTTTCAATGCTTCTACAAATTGATTACTAATAAGTTTTTTTCTAAATGTTGATTTGTGGTCTAATTGACAGAAAATTTTGTTGATCTCAAATTTCTTTGCTCTATATGATACCACTGGCTGATTTAAATTAAGCACTGAAAGTGGAGATAACTTTGGACAACTGGTTTTCAGATTTCACATATGTTGATGAAAAAGTCAATGAACTCATTTGCAGTATCTTTTTCAGTTAGAATTTCAATGAAATTTTGACTTGATTCAAGAAAGAGCACTTTTGAACAAGATACAGATTTACTATTTTTTAAATTGAGTTAAATGTTTATTTCGAATCTCCAATACCTGTTGTAAATTTAATCCAATAACAGTTTCTTTTTTATCATTTTAAGTGTTTGCTCGACTTTTTTTTCTCAACTCAGGAAATACATGCACTATTGTGCAATTTTTTGAAGTTTTTTTTTCCTGTTTCTCCGGTTGTTTTTCGTTTTGAGACTTTTTAAAGCATTGTTGAATCATGGCGCATATGGTTTCTTGCTATTATTTGTTTTCTTGATTAGTGCATATTTAATTGTCATTTTATCAAGATTAGGTTAAAATTTCTTAAAGAGTTGTTCAGGATCTTTCCTTTGAAGTTTTTCTTTTTCATTAGCATCGAATGGTTGTTTCAATTCTCTGAGAAGTTTATCGAGCCTTGATTTGTGTTTTAGAAAAGTAGTATCTCCAAAATTATATTTAAATTTCCATACTGCAGCACAATCGTTACAGCATTCAGCAAATAAAGATATTTAAAGTGATCGATTTATGTTGATGATAAGCGAGTCAGCTCACTGCAAAAAATTTGAACCCATCAGAATTTAAGCTATTCAAGTAGTGAGTAGAAATTTGATTCTACTCCAGCGTACTGATTTCGAAATCCTCGCACATGCAGACCTGTTTCAATGTTCAATTTTTCAATTCTAAGAATTTTTCAAGCTGATTCGGGAACAGCATTTTGTTTGTTCTTGGTGGGTTACAAACAACCTAGAACTACTTCTTTCGACCTCAGTATAAATTTATTCTTCAAACATAGTTTCGGGCTGTCTGAGCTTCTGAACATTTTCCTTAACTTGGATCATGAATTCCATGAATTATAAAGCTGCTATAATTCCTCAACCAAAAGAGAACTTAATTTTGTTAGCAACGTTTAACAACTTTGCACGCAAACTATCGTCTAGATTCAGTCATGTTTGGATTATGTAAATTGCCTGTGGTCTAATTTGCTAGCCCTTTTTTGATAATTACCGAAACATTTTTTCCATTTTTTGAATTTTGCGCTTCTCGTAAGAACAAAATGAAAAATTCAAAAGTTGAAAAAAGAGTACAAGTTAAGTTTTCTTCCACTTAAAATCTTACACCTCAAACCAACTCAAATTATTAGGAGCACTGAACACAAAAGTTTTTTATCACGTCTGAGCAATTCAACCCAAATTTGCTTCAAGTTAATTCTCAAAGTGCCAAGTCTCAGTTGACTTTAGTAGGGCTGACTACTTTTGCCCTCTGTGCGCTGCAGACATTTTCCTCTCGCCTCTATTAACAGTCTGTGATGCTTTTGGACGGGTCACTTGACAAAAATTTGAACATTTTCACCGAGTCTGTTTTTTTTTGTCATCAGCTCACGCACTTATCAAGCACACGTACGTTTTTGTTGTTAGTACACAAAACGGTAAAGTCTCACCAAGTTGTTTGGGGATGTCTTGCTCCCACTTTTGCTTGGGGCAAACCTTCACCAACTTACCAGCAAACCCTCACCACCATGTATATTTCACTTTGCGATATTAGCAATATTATTACAAATTTTGAGGAGGGAGCCCGCGCCGAGAAAAGCTTTTATTTGGTCATAACTTCCCAAATAATGCTTAAAGTTTTTTCTCAGTTTGTATTTTTTTCAAAAATTTGCCTGTAGAGCAGAAAAAGTAGTATTTGAAAGAAATAATCTTCTTTCCAAAATGGTCGACTTCAACTGTTTGTAGAAATCCACCCCCTCTCTCGGAAATCCCTAAAACCTCACCCGGTTGGATGTTCTCAAAGAAATTCACAACGTTTCCGAGGAAAAAATCGAAATGCTGCCTGATACATTTATCTTTTATAGCATGCTTTTGAGACGGCTAATAGTTATGGTTTTTCATCTTGTTATAGAAAAAGTACGCAGTCGAAACTGGTGCCGTCGTAGTTTACATATACTGCATCTGAATGAACATGATTGTATCTTTCTTTCACATGATTTTCAGACCATTAATATATGATTCATAAGTTTTTTATCTTTTCAACAAAACCATTGAATTTTTCATTTCTCTACCTGGGATTGATTAGTCATGACAAGTAGCAGTAGAATTCTGGTGCGCACGCTGTCACCAAAACTAACTTCCACAACTACGGCTCGATCCAGTTCTACTTGGGGGGACTTCATACAAGGTGAGCATGAGCAGGCTTCAAAATAACATGGCGAGAAAGTGAGAATTTTTATTATGATTTTCAAAGTCGTTCAATAATTTTTATGCGAATTAAAGTTAATGAAATTTTTATTTTGAATAAGCTTTTGTAAGCTTTATGTAAATTGCCTGAGTTTTATGCATAACTTCGTTCATTTTTCTGGCTGCGGCCTTGAAAGTGAAATGTTTCTAAGCCAGTTATCCAATAAGATTTGTTGTAAGCGTTAAGAAAAAACGTTTTAAAAGCTCACCCTGTAATTTTGTGAGTCGTCCTGTGACTGCTCTAATTTGTTACACAGGTGAGTTGGAGTCCATAAGAAGAGCTGGCACTTGGAAGACAGAGAGGGTCATTACGTCATCTCAGAGTGCCCTGGTTAGTGTGGACAACAGAGACCAGAAGGTGCTCAACTTCTGTGCCAACAACTACCTCGGCCTCTCAGATCATCCCGAGGTGGTTCAGGCGTCCGGTGAGTTGAGTTTTCAAAGGTCAAAACTATAGATTTAATATTTGCGCCCAGCGCCTAGCAGCGCTCAAAGAAGATCAGAAGCCGACCAAAATCACATTGACGAGCAGAAACTGGGGTCGATGAAGTGCTCGACTCAAGACGAAAAAAGGGGTTTTAAGAGGGCTTTTCATTCAAGCTCATCAGACAAGCGTCACAGCTAAACTGAATAATTGAATTAAAAATGCGCTCGCTGGTATCTTTAGTCATTTCTAACATTTTTTTCACTCTTCTCCCATCGCTCATGGCTTTTTTCTGGTTTTGAAGGCGAATTAAAATACCAGGATGAAACATATGTACCAATACAAAGCTAATTTTGAGCCCTCTGCGAAGTTTTCTATGAAAACTAATCTATGAGAACCTCAACTATTCCTATGAGCAAGAAAATGGTATGCAATCACTCACTTAATCTTGGCCATTAAGTAAATGCTCTGTTCGCAAGAACTTCAAAATGCACAAAAACACTGTTTGACTGTTAGCAAGAATGATTAGTGTGTCTATTGTGGTTTAGTGGACACCCTGTTAAGACGTGGCTCCGGCCTCAGTTCCGTTCGCTTCATCTGTGGCACCCAGGACATCCACAAACAGCTGGAGAGGACCATCGCCCAGTTCCACCACAGGGAAGACGCCATCATATATGCGTCATGCTTCGACGCCAACGCTGGTACGATTAACTCTCTCTTCAAACAATTGTGGGTGGTCTAAGTTGGTGCTCCAATCCTCTCGCTAACCAAAGGCTCTCCCCTCAAGTACGATTGCACATCAGTTTTGTCTCCACAATAGTTTTCCAACAATTTGGCTCCAATATATTAATTTTAAGCAGGGACTTTAATTTCCATTATAGTTTGACTTGTCAAAAACGGTCAAAACTATTCAGTCAAAATTTCAAAAACACCTAAAATTTAGGTTTTTGGCCTGTTTTTTTCTTCAAAAATGCGCTTGCGTCGCAAAAAACTCAGTCAAATTAATGCCTTTATAGCGCTTTGCGAGGGCTAAGAAAATCAATTTTGCCGACTACAAAAGGTCGATAAAATAATTGTTCTTTCTTTAAAATTTCTTAAAAAACAATCCGTCACACCTCGGAAAAATCTTAGATCTGCGTCTTATGAGAAGAATTACTCCAAAGATATTCTAATAAAGTCTCCTCAAGATCATTTCGAAGTGATGATGTCAAGGAATTCACTGGTTTTAAGTGAGGATTTATTCTCTCTATTTTTTGCTTACGTGATTTACTGAAAAAATAATGACAGTAGGATGAAATTGCAGCTGACAAACACTTTCAGTCTTGGAATGTAGCGAAACAATTTAGATTAAGCAGGGGTGATAACCTGTTTGCAGGTATCTTCGAGACCCTGCTAGGACCTGAAGATGCTGTGCTATCCGATGAGCTCAATCACGCTTCCATCATCGACGGAATCAGGTTTGTGTTGAGAACTCTAGAAAATGAGCAATTATTGAATCAAGGCAACTTAATTGTAAGAATTCAAAGCCGGAGAAGATTTTTTGAAGATTTTAATTACAATTCACTCAACCTTATTAGCTAGATAATTTTAAGTTCAAGCAAATATTTTATTCAAGTTCAATGCAATTATGACCAAGCAAATATTTTTTCATGTTCAAGAAATGAGCTCACAAATCAAACAGTCATAATTATAATAAATATAATGTGGTTCCTGCGAATCACAGGCTATCAGTAGGCCTTAACAGTCCTGTCGAGGATAGTCCATTTGTATTATCTCCCCACATTCCAGACTGTGTTATGTTGAGAGAAGCTCTTTTTTGTGATTCAAGACCGTTTTTTTTTGCGACTAGACTTTCACGTGGTACTACTATTGCAGTCAAAATTGGTCAGGTTGTGGTAGACCTGAAGCTAGAGGTCAAGTGAGAGCTCGTCCTCGCACAATATCATTGCCATGGCATGGGATTTAATACACGATCTGACAATTTTATAGTGAACGCCTTACCACTATGCTAAGTGCCTCAGTACTGTAACCATTGAGTGGTTCTTAACACTCACAAACGTCTCATAATCAATTTTTTCTTAACTAAGCATGTTAAGTGACATTTGAATTTCAGGCTCTGCAAAGCGCGAAAGTTTCGGTTCCAGCATCGAAACATGGCGGATCTAGAGGAGAAACTCACTGAAGCCTCGAGCCAACGAATCAAACTTATCGTGACCGACGGCGTTTTCAGCATGGACGGAAACATAGCCCCACTGGACAAAATTTGCGACTTAGCGGACAAACACGACGCCATTGTTTTAATTGACGAATGTCACGCGACCGGTTTCCTCGGGGAAACAGGAAGAGGCACAGAACAGTTTCTGGGAATGAGAAACCGAGTCCAAATAGTCAACTCCACTCTCGGAAAGGCGCTCGGGGGTGCGGCTGGGGGCTACACATGCGGACCCAAATTTTTAATAGACCTTTTGAGGCAGAGGTCAAGGCCATATCTGTTTTCGAACACGTTGCCGCCAGCGGTTGTCGGCAGCGCTTTGAAGTCATTCGAACTAATTGATCGAAGTCCCGGCATAATCGCAGACTTGCAGCGGAACACAAAAATGTTTCGGGAAAAGATGAAAGATGCCGGGTTCACAATTTTGGGCGACGAGCACCCCATTTGCCCAGTGTTTGTGGGCGACGCCAAATTAGCAAATGACATTGCCAGCGAACTGCTATCGAGAGACATATATGTGATTGGATTCAGCTATCCGGTTGTTCCGACGGGAAAGGCAAGAATCCGGGTGCAGATTTCTGGAGGCCACAGTGTGAAAGACATAGAGTTCGCGCTTGAGGCATTCAAAGATGCTGGAAAGAAGTTCAAGGTCATTTGAAGACTGGTGACATCTAACAATGATAATGATTCATTGAACATTAAAAAAGATAGACTTTATAAAATAAATTTTCTGAAAAACTGTGTAAAACTGGGCGACTGACAAGTGGTTCCCATAAAGAACCAAGGCAGCGTCAAAATATTTATCTTATTATGAAAGCTTTAATTCCAAAATGTTTCATTGAACATAGCAAGTGATAAGCATACGGATTTTTATTGTCATTTTACAAGTATGAGACACAGGTGCAGAAAAATCTTGTCAAGACAAGGTGAGGTAGCAGCATTTTGCCGAATTTTAGTGAGACGCAGTTGGTTGCCGAGGGGGGAGGGGGAAGGGTAAATTAACGACATCCATTTTTGGCTGACCAGCCTCAAAAAATTTCTAAAGGAACATTGGGTGCCAATATAATGTTTTTGAGGGGAGGGGGGAGGGGGGAGGGGGGGGGGGGGGGAGGAGGAGCGCGGCAAAAAAACTCGATTTTTTGTCACAATTTTCCAAAAAACTCCTAAAATGCCTTTTTGGTCTGTTTTTTGAAACAGTTGCTTGTGGCGGGGAAATATTTTGATTAAAAAGTGTCCTTACCGCATTTTCAGACAAGCTCGAAAAATCAAATTGGTCAATCTACTGAAACAAAGGTCAACAAAATTTTTAAAAACCGCTTAGCAGCTTGCGCACCCCTGTCACACAAAATATTGCAGTTTGTAACTGTCTCTAGATTTTGTTATTCATATCAAACCAATAGTGCAGTACTTTAGGGTTTTTTCTGCTTACAATCTTATATTTAATTGTATCTCGTTTTCTTAAAGGCTCCATGTTCAACAGTCGTCTTGAATTGCTATGGGAGTCAAGATTAACATTTCACCACTCGTGAAGTTTAGGAAATTGATTTGAGTCAGCAAATCAAAGTGTCAAGATGAACCGAGTTTGGAAAGGCCAAAGTCAAATGTCCAGACCAATGATCTTAAAATTTTGAGCGCAGGGCACGGCAGCGCAAGTCAAGGCAAGGACGGGCAGAGCACGGTAAGCAGAGCACAGTAAACATGGTAGGCAGGACGGGATAGGCATGACAGGGAACCAGGGGCAGAGCACAGTAAGCACGGTAGACAGGACAGAGCACCATTAGGACAGGGCAGGGCAGGGTAAGGTGAGGAAACAGAAAATAGGGCAAAGCATTGCAATGCAACGCAGAGAACCGCAAAAAAGGCAGCGCAAAGCAGTGGAAGGATGGGCAATGCAGAGCAGGCCCAGCAAGTAGGGGCATGGCAGGGTAGCGACAAGCAAGACAGAGCAGCACAAAACAAGGCGGTGCAGCGCAAGACAGAGCACGACAGCGCAAAGCAAAGCAGATCAAGGCAGCACAAGTTTTTGAAGTTTTGAGCTGAGGGCCGCGCAAAATTTTCAAATTTTGAGCAGAGGGCAGTGCAAGGCAAGGAAGGGCAGTTCAAGGCAACTAGGGGTAGGCAGGACAGGCCACCATTAGGTAAGGCAGGGCAGTGTAACGCAGGGCGGGGCAGCTAGAGGCTCGAGGCAGCGGAAAGCTATGCAGAGCAGCGCACGTAAGGAAAAAAACGCTAGATAGTGCATAGCTACGCAGACAAGGCAAGAGAAGGCAAAACAGGGTAGATAAGAGCAGCGGAAGCACGTGGAGCGCAGGGCATGGCATGGCAGCGTAAGGAGGATCAGTATAGCACGAGCAAAAATTGAGCGCAGGTCAGCGCAAGTTACTGTAGTTTCGAGCGCAGGGAAGCGATAGGCAACGAATGGCAGTTTCGTGAAAATAGGGGCAGGCAGGACAGGAGGGCACCAGTGTGTATGACTGCCAAAGAAGAGCAGCTCGAGGCTCAAGGCGACGAAGGGCATGTCGGCATAAGGCAGTGTAGCGCAAGGCGGAGCGGCTCAAGGCTGTGCAGGGTAGAGCACAGCAGGTAGGGCAGTGCAAGACAAGGCGGTGCAGTTCGTGGCAGCACAGCCTATGGCAAGGGAAGGCAAAACAGTATAAAACAGGGCAGCGGAAAGAAGTGCAGTACAGCAAATCAAGGCAGAGCGGCAAAAGTCAAGGCAAGTAAAGGTAGCATACCGCAGGGTTGCGCAAAAAATGGGACAGTGGAACGGAGGCAGTGTATGATAGGGCAGCCCAACAAAGGACTAGAAAGCGCAAAGCAAGGTAGCTTAGCTCAAAGAAAAGAAAAGCGAGGTAGCAGAAGAACGGGTAAAGCAGGGCAGGTCACGGAGGAGACTGGCACGGCAGCTTGAAGCAAAAACTTGCAGCGCAAAAAACTGCAGCAAAAATAAAAGCGAGGCAGCGCAAGGCATGTCAGCGCAACTCAAGACAATCGCAGGTAGGAGAGCGTACTGTAAGACAAAGCAATGCAGTGATGCGCAAGAGCAGCCCTCAGAATATTACAGTGTTTTCTAATAAAGCCCCTAAAAATTTTATACCATTGTTATTTCAAAAACATACTGTTAGACGATGTCAATTGACCTACTGGAAAATATTCATTTGCTCAGTAGCAGTGGGGCACGTTTCTTCTCTGTGGAAGCAGTTGAAGCAAAAGCAAGACAGAGCAGCAAACGGCAAGGCAAGTAAAGGTAGCATACCACAAGGTAGCGCAGAAAAGTGAGAGATTGGAACGGAGGCAGCGTATGGCAGGGCAGCGCAACAAAGGACAAGAAACAGCGAGGCAAGGAAATGTTGCTCAAATAAAAGTAAAGCGAGGCAGCAGCGAAAAAGGCAAGGCAGGGTAGATCAAGGAAGAGCATGGCACGCTAGCGCGAAGCAAAAAATTGCAGCGCGAAAATTCATGAAAAAGCAATGCAGGGCAGCGCAAAGTAGGTCAGCGGAACCCAAGACGATCCAAGGTAGGGCACGCAATGTAAAAAAAGCAAGGCAGTGAAGCACAAGAATTATCCACAGAATATTACATTTTTTCTAATGTAGCCCCAATAAAACTTTCATACCCTTGTTATTTCAAAATTATGCTGTTGGAAATTGTGCACTGACTTACTGAAATAGAATCATTTGTTCAGTGGCAGGTAAGGACGGGTCTCCTTTCTCAGACATGTGTTATCATGAGCCCACTCTATGACACTTCAGTTTATGCATCATATTCAGTTTTACTCTAAGTTATAGGAATAATTTATCAGAGCTATCTTTCCGTTCATCGCCCACATCGTAGTTTTAAACATTTCTTCCACATTGATTTCATCATCATGTTCAGTTTATACACTAAGACTTTGAAACAATTTATTGGAGCTAACTCTCCATTTATCGCTAACATCGTGTTGATATTTGTTTGGTTCACATTGATGTATTCATTTCAATGTATGCATCATGATCTGTTTTTACACTAAGATTGAAAAATAATTTATAGGAGCTAACTCTCCATTTATTGCTAACATCGTGTTGTTATTTGCTTGGTTCATATTGGTGTGTTCATTTATGTCTATCCATCAAATTCAATTTCTAATCTAAGTTTTTGCAATAACTTTTTTAAGGTAACTTTCGCTTTATCGCTTATATGGTGTTTTCATTTAATTGGTTGACATTGACTCGTTCATTTCAGACAATTCATCGTATTCAGTTTTAACTCTAAATTAATGAAATAATTCATTGGAGGTGACTTTCCAACCACCGCTAACATTATATTGTTATTCTTTTGGTCCACATTGATTTATTCATTTCAGTCTATCCACCATGTTCAATTTTTACATTAAGTTAATGGAATAACTTATTGGAGCTAATTTTTCATTTCTCGCTTTCAACGAGTTGTTGTCCGTTCCTTTCACTATGGTTTGATCTAATCAGTCTATCCAAGAGTTTCAGTTTTACTCCAACTTATTGGATTAGGTTATTGAAACTATCTCTCCAATTATCGCACAGTTCGTGTTGTCGTGTTTTTGCGCGTTTGGTCCAAATTGGGTTATTCATTTCACTCTATCCATTTCGACAAAATTTCAAAATTATTTGCTATAATTTATCGAAGGTAAATTTCTCTTTATCGCTTATATCGTGTTTTCATTCATTTAGTTCACATTGGTTTATTCGTTTCAGTCCATCCATCGTATTAAGTTCTTAGTGTAAATTTTAGGAAAAATTGATTGGAGTTGAAATTTCAGCCATCGCTTACATCGTATTGTTATGCGTTTGGTTCACGAAGGTTTATTCATTTCAATCTATCCATCATGATCAATTTTTACACTAAAATGTTGAAATAATTTATTGGAGGATTCATTTCAGTCAATCCATCATGTTCAACCCTTATTCAAATTTCACTTCAGTCTATCTAACATATTAAGTTATTGATATATTTTAATGGATGTAATTTTCCTTTTATCGCTTACATTGTGTAATGTCCGCTTGATTCACAATGGCTTGTTTAGTTAAGCCTGTCCATCATTTTCAGTTTGTACTCCAAGTTATTGGAAAAACTTATTGGGGCTAACTTTATGTTCATTGCTCACATCGTGCGGATAACCGTTTGTTCCACATTGGTTTATTCTTTCAGTCTATCTATCATAATCAGTTTTTCCAAAATTGTATTTGAATAAGTTATTGGAGCTATTTTTCCATTTACCGCCTACATCGTATTGTTATCAGCTTGAAACAGTGTAACGGAGGCAGTGTATGATAGGGCAGCCCAACAAAGGACTAGAAAGCGCAAAGCAAGGCATCTTAGCTCAAAGAAAAGAAAAGCGAGGTGGCAGAAGAAGGGGTAAAGCAGGGCAGGTCAAGGAGGAGACTGGCACGGCAGCTTGAAGCAAAAAATTGCAGCGCAAAAAACTGCAGCAAAAATAAAAGCGAGGCAGCGCAAGGCAAGACAATCGCAGGTAGGAGAGCGCACTGTAAGACAAAGCAATGCAGTGATGCGCAAGAGTAGCCCTCAGAATATTACAGTGTTTTCTAATAAAGCCCCCAAAATTTTTATACCATTGTTATTTCAAAAACATACTGTTAGACGATGTCAATTGACCTACTGGAAAATATTCATTTGCTCAGTAGCAGTGGGGCAAGCTTCTTC